CTTCTTACATCTGAACAAAGTCTTAAATTGGTGTCCCTAATCTTGAGGTCCAGGATCTGCCGTGGTCATCTCTTCTCCCCCAACAAAGCCAGTTTAGGTCACTGCTTGGTAGACCCTGCTTGAATGACTTGCTGGGCGCAGGTTCCCAACTGAGTGATGAGGAAGGAGGTGGTGAGGGTGGGAGGGGGTGCACTAACATCACCTTCAAGCTGCAGCAGCTGTGGAGCTTGGATCAACCCGAGTAGAGGCACTGCATAACAGTCTGGGACGTTCCCTTGAGGCTACATGTGAGAAGTGTTTTTCTGGTCCCAGAGAAATGGCTACTCTAGATCAGTGGTTCTCAACTGGGATGACTTTGACCTTCTCTGAGGGGATCTTTGGCAATGTCTAGTGACCAAGCCATTTGTTCCACTTTGGGGGGGGGGGTGGCTCCTGGCATCCAGTGGATGGAAACCAGGATGCCACATGGCACAGGGATGTTACACTGCACAAAACAATAATTATCTGGCCCCAAATGTCAATAATTTATTCAGGAAACGTCAACCCATTTCTACCCTAATACAGCTAAAAGCAAGCCTCAAATAAAGCTGATTCACCAGCAAATTACAACCTGCTGGAACAACTCAAAGGTAAAATTCGAACCTCAAAATTTAGAATTTACACTGACAGGCACACAATTTTAAAAATGTACCAGGTAGGTGAAGAGGCAGAAAAATGAGTGACATTAAAAAGTCATGAGATATTGCCCTTTAAATGACTTCACTATTGGAATCTATAAAGACCCCAAAGAATTTGTAAGAAAAATAAAAAAAAATTATTATGAGAAAGTATATAAGAAATTTCAGCAGAGAAATTGAAGAAATAAGAAACACATGGAAATTTAAAAACAATGTATGGTACAACCATAAGAAATTATTGGATGGGTTTAACAGATTTGGCATGGCAAAGGGGGAAAAGTGAATTTGAAGATAGGGCAAAAGAACTTAACTAAAGTAGAGCTATGAAAGACTTAAGTAAGCCTCAAGGAAAGCTGAGACATTGTCAAAATGTGTATCATACAAACAGTTGGGGTTTGTTAGGGTGTAGATCTAAAAAGTGTCATGTGTATGGAAGGTGATTGGACCATGGGATTCTAGACTTCTAGTAGATTCCCAAGTTCAGCAGCTGAACCTGCTGCTAGCCGACTGGGCCTGGCCAGAGGTGGCACTGTGGTGTGCTCTGTCCTGGACTCCTCTCTTCTTTCTCTGCTTCCATGCTGCCTAGGAGTGAGTAGGTTTCTCCGCCAGGCCCTTCCTCCATGTGTATCTACCTAGGAACCAGCAGACCTTGCTCTGAAGGCACTGGAAACCATGAGCCAAATAATCCTCTCTCCTTTAAGTTGTAGGTGTTGGCTCTTGTGTCCTAGTGACAAAGAAGTGACTACTGAAGATGAGATATGGGAGCAAGGGGAGCTCGGTGTCTTTTGAAATGGTGTATGTTACATCCTAATTTCATGTGTGGGTCATTTTCATGAGTTAGTATTGTTCTAGTAGAAGAGAAAGAAGCGTGACCAAACAGGCTGGCAGTGATGTGCCGGGAGGCAGTACTGTACTTCTCTACCATGCAATGGGTGGGAAGTGGGATTACTGGAATCCACTGGAGGTTGGAGGGTTTTTACATGTGCCAAAGAGGGACATTAATATTTGAAATAGTTGAGAAATGTTTGGGATTTTTTACACAAAGCCTTGGGATAAACTATATTCTTCTATTGTTTCACATTCCCAAAGGGGTTTCTAGTGGTTTAAAGCATAATTTTCCAATCCAGAAAAAAGTTAACTAACATGCCAAAGTTTCTAGTCTGTATTTAAACTTTGCTGGATTTTTTTAAAGCTACAAAATTGGAGTAGTTGAACGTGATGCAGTTAACTTTCAGATATGTTCCGTTGCATAATAAACTAATACTGTTTATGAGCCCCTGAACTTCTTGGATGAAATGTGGTTTACATCAGTGAGTGTGCATCTACATACACAATATTATAAGGAAAGATTTATAACTCCTGAGCCATGAAAAATTTCTGCAGAAAACCTAAATCACTAGAGAACCAAATAATAGCTTTCCCTGAGGGGACTTTGAAAGAATTTGCATTTGAATTGGATCCTGAAACTCGAAGTTTGAATTTATCATCCATTCCTCAAGAAATATTGTAGTTATATATAAAATGGCATTATAGAAATGAAATGCAATGACAACAGATTAATTTGGTCTTCTAAAGATTATTATCAGATTTATGTGACTTTACTGAGCTTTCGCTCTGAATTCAGTTTGTTCCATAGAGTCAAGACTTTGACCTCCAGTGGGTTTCATAAACAATCTCTTTTCATAAATATCAAGATCCCTTGAAATGTAAAAAGAAATCTCACTTTAAAAATCCAACGAGGAAAATGATCTGGGAATAATGCAGCTTAACCACTGGAAAAATTCTTCACCTTTGCTTCTTAAACCTGTATTTCTGTTGTCAAGGAAATAAATGTATAAATGCATAAAATGACAATTTCCTAGGGGCAAATCCTTTCTAAATGCCAAAGTATTTATGTCTTTATAGATTCATCGATCAGTTTAGAGTTCCGCTTGTGATTCGTCTCTTCCATCATTCTGTAAAGATGAAGCTAGTTACAGGAAACAATTATAGGAAGTTCATTTTTTATTAAGAGCTGACAGAGAATAACATATTAAAATGTGGGGATTTAAATGCATTCTGTGCAAGTGTCACCTTATCAGTAAGTACATTTCTCTACGAATCTTTAATGATTACCTGGATGGATGCCTTTGAGTGCCTGACTCGGCCCCTCTTTGTTGTAGACACCACTCTGTGCTTTCTTCCTCGCTGTGACCTCAGCTTCCACACATCTGAAAATACAGATAACAACTGTGGTTACCTCATGGGATTGCTAAGAGGATTAATTGAAATAATATGAGTATGAAAATCATGTGTTGAGTATATAATCAGGGCTCTGTGGCGATTAGTCTGGTTAATGTAGCTAAATGACTGACAGTCAAACTATGATTGAGGTTTGAAATATGTCATTTAAGCCATTTTTTGGCATTCTTTTTTCCAGTTGCGTTTTTCTTGGTACGTAGTGTAACCATCAAATTTGCACTATATTTAAATCCATGCCATAACACCTGGCTCTTGTATATTCTGTTTAGTGGCTTAAAGCTGTAGTTCTTTAAAATTATTCAGCCTCTGTCATGAGACAAAAAGAAAGGGAGTAATGTCTGTCAAACAAGTCTATTGTTTTCTTTTTCTGTTCCTGTTTCATTGTGGGTGGGCAGGACTCATGGTGGGAGAATTGGTAGGGACCACACCGGGAGGGAGGAAAATACTATATAATGCAGGGTGCAACAAGAGAACACAAGAAAGTCCGAGGTCCTGAAAAAATGAGAAGATTCATTGAAATCTAAATTCCATTATAAATAAACAGTCCTCTCTGCATAGCCAAATGACTCTTATTTTACCAAAATTATTCTAAGAATGTATTTTGTAACAGCACCTTGCATAAACCAACTGGCATAACACTGAGTTAATTTCTGTTTTGCTACTGAATCAGCCCATTTGGCTTGTCTGTCTTCACATTTTTCTTGGTGTTTATCCTCAAGCTTAGCAACCAACCAAACTTTGAGTGGAATATCAATACTTAAGAGGAAATGTATTAGTAGTTTACAAGTTGCTAGAGACTGAGTTTGCAGTGCCTATGTTTTTCTCGTATTATTCTCTGAATCCATAAAATTACTTCCCCTCCAATATTCACAAGCTTCCAAATAGTGACAAACATGTCCTCGTGTGACTTTAATTCACCTAGGAGTTGTGTATCACACAAGTGTTGGTGAAGATATATAGGTTAGAACACATGGTTTGTCTTACATGAGAAACCCAAAATATAAATAAAGAGCAAAATAAAAGTTAGATAACAGAAAATAGACCTTTTTTAAATGGGAAGAGGAACGACATGATGGGAGGTGGGAGGAAGAGGAGTGGAAGGGAAAAAAAGAATGATGTTTTACGTACATGTATCAACTCCCCACAAGAAAGGTAATCATTATGTATTACAAACGTGTACTAATAAAAAATAAAATAATAATGAATAGCTAGAAAATAAGTGAAAATTAATAAAGAATAAAAAAGAATATGAAAACTTATTAAAGGACAAAAAATAAATGTAAACGGGACATTTGTTTATAGAAGGGACAAACTGAAATGTCTGCATCCCCTACCCGCTCCAAAGATGTATTTTTCTTCTGGCCAAATGGCTATAAATCTTTGTTTCTCACCCCCCCCCCATGTTATAAAATTTTTTAAAAATGTCCTTTTGCTAAAAGCAAATTTTGAACAAGTTTTATTTTCATGTCATTATAAAAATCATTAAAGTCATAATTTCTAATCCCAGAAGTACAGTTTTGATCCCCTAAAGGACTTGAAAGCGTCTACTCCAAACTTAGTTTACAAGTACTAAAAAGTCCTTTTTTTTTTTAAAGTGATAGTCTGTTTTTCCAAACTTCAGTTGGCAGGAGAAAAGTAAGAAATTGATCATCTCTGGGTCCCAAGTGCTTTCTCTCCCACCGGAGACCCTTCAGCGCCGGCGGGGTCTTCGAAGATCCTCATTCCTACTCGCATTTTACCAGACCCCAGCCTCAGACCCCCGAGGGCCTCGGAGCAGCGGGGCAGCCGGGCCTGGGCGCTCCGCCTCCTCAGAGGCGCTGTGTGGATGCGCTTTTCTTCCTCGTGACCGAAGAGAGCCTTTCGCGCGTGGGAAGACGAGGGCGGAGTCCCGCGGCGCCCGGGCGTCCCGGCCCTGGCGTCTGCCTCTGCTCCGCTCGCCGCGTCCCCGCGCCCGCGTGCAGTCGGCCGGGGCGGGCGCTGCGCTGACCTCTCCCGGGTCACCAGCCAGGCGGGCCGCGTGATGCCACCCGGAGTGGAGCGGCGCAGCCCGCGTGTGCCCGGCCCAGCCGCCCAGCGCGCGCCATGAGGGTCCGCTTCGGCGTGGTGGTGCC